ACTTTTTTTTTTATAAGTTGGACAAATAATAAACATTATTGATTGCTACATGTTCAGTTTATTCATAAAGCGCCAATTAACAACACATTTCATCTCAAGGCACTTTACAATTCAACCAGATTATAAAGTCAAATTGATAGAAAGTTTTCTATCTAAGGAAAACCAGTTGATTGCATCAACCCGAAGGCAATCCCTCACACTAAGCATGCTTGTAGCGACAGAGGAGAGGAAAAACTCCCTTTTAACAGGAAGAAACCTCCAGGAGAACCAGGCTAAGTGTGAGCGGCCATCTGCTGAGGCCGACTGGGGTTCAAGGAGACAGAAGCAGACATAGAAAAAGAAGCAGAGATATTAAAAAAAGACAACTGTCAAAGCAACTGGAAACCCACAGCCAGGCAGACGAATTCCGAACCAACTCCCATGTCAGAGGATGAAGAAAGCAAGCTAGTCACAGTCAGAACAAAAGGACTACTCTGAGAAACAGGCCGCTGTCAAACCTCTATAAACAAAGGGGTTGATGGCAGCAGCACAAGCTGATATTTCTCTTCAGGATGGAGTCACAGCCAAACAGGAACAGACCAGATGAAGCTACTATTAGAAAAAGCAGAGAGAGCAGAACGTTAGAGATTGAACTAACAGATTCTGCAGAGTGGGGGACTAGAGATAGAATGAAGCAGAATAATGAAAAAGGGGTCCCTATGTCCTCCAGCAGTCTAAGCCTATAGCAGCATAATCAGTTATATTTTAGCTTAATCAATTTAATAACATCCAGATGAAGTGACTGACTAATCGGCTTCTTTTTCAAAGACTCTGGTCCAAACACTATAAGCTCTGCTTTGTCTGCAATAAGGGGCAGAAAGTTAAGAGTGTTCCAGGTTTTTATGTCTTTAAGACATGCCTGTAATCTATGTAAAGGGTTAGCTTCATTTGGATTTATAGACAGATATAGCTGGGTATCATCAGCGTAACAGTGAAAATGAATCCCATGCTGTCTAATATTTCTAATGGGAGCATATATATATATATATACAGTATAGTAAATTGAATTGGTCCTAGCACTGATCTCCGTGGTACTCCACAGGTAACCCTGGAGTATGAGGAAGATTTATCATTAATGTGAATAAACTGAAATCGCTCAGATAGATATGATTTAAACCATTCAACTCTTACAAAAAAGAATATTATTCTGACATAAGAGACTTCAGGTATGATTACACCCCTACCTTGTGTTTGTTTGTGTGTGGTTTGTTCACTGGACTATCCTACTGAGGAGGGGTTGAGAGGAAGCATGTAGTACTAGCAGTTTGCCACAAGGGGGCGTATCAAACACATTGAACTCTCCCACTTCAGCAAACGGCAAGAAAGTTTCTGTCTGTTAAAAGATATAGTTTTGCTATATTTACAGGCAGGCGAACAACATAAATAGTCGAGGAACCAGGTGGAAAAGATCGGCGTTAATCAGCCACCGGGCCAATTAGACCGGTGAGCAGGAGCAAATGAAAAAGCCTACCATCAGGGCCAAGACTATGAGGAAGAGCTTTTAACCAAATTATGTTTGACTTGGAACAGAATAATTCTTTTTAATAAACATGAAAGGAGGTTGTGGTTAATTTGTTCCACATAAATGCAAAACTATCTGTTTGACCATGATTAGAGCTCCACTCACTTTCATTTATTGTTCTAACATTGTTCTGATATTAATAATATATGATTAAATAAGATATATTATAATAACATATTAAAGTTACACAATATAGTCTGAGTTTATGGGCCTTTTTAGACTTAGTCTCAACTTTATTTCCCTTGGGATTGCTCCTTCAAGGAAATTCTGGTTCCTGTAGCTCATATAAAAAATAAAAAACAAGATGCCATTAAAGATACAACATAAAAATACAACAGACAACATGAAAAGAGCGTATATATACAAAAAAGCATTAAAAAGTTGTAATTTCCAGAAATATGTGTCCTTCAGATATAACATTATCTGCACAGTAGAGAGCTAAGGAAAGACTACACAGTAGTTGCCTTGGATTATTGCACTTGTACTGAAGAGATGTACTGACCTTATAAATAAGTTTAAAAAAAAATCAACAGGCTACACAGTAGTTGGCATGTGTTAGAGAGAAGAATATTACACATGAGTGGCAATAGGTAATGTTTTGCACAAGATGTTTAAGGAGGGGGGTGCTGACCCTTGTCCCTCTTCCTATCACCTCCTCCTTCCCCCAATGAGGAGTTGTACAGTTGAATTTGAGGAGGAGCAATCTCCCAGTGATCAGGCTCCTGAGTGATGAAGGCAGTGTCTAGAGGTTGGCTGGCATTGTTCATAATGTCCAGCCATTTGTTAAGTGTCCTTGTCTCTGCCACCGTCCCCAGAGGGTCCAGTGTCCTAACAATCACAGTCTTTTAAATAACCAGGACATTTCAGAATAAAACTCTGGTTCATTCTAAACTTTTACTGTCAGTCAGTATCCCAGAAGGATAATATAAATTTTCCTCCACAGGTTCCTCTGTGTGATATATCCTGGACATATCACAAAGATCAGAGTCCTTCAGAAAAATCTGCAGAGGGAGCTCATATACGTATACTCAAAAACATGCCATTATTTAAAAGCATGATTTTGAATCCCTTTGATTTTTTGAGTTCCTAAAGTAATTAATTGCTTTTCAGGTCAAAGAAGACATCTTAGTCCAGCTTTACTGTATTGAAGGGATACAGCTCTCAGAAGGAGGGATCTACAGTACACTGCCTCCCATTAAAGATGGCAGCCATAAAGGAACAAAAGAGAAGATAACTCCAGTGACTATGGGACAGACGTAAAGGAGCTGTTGGGAACATTGCTTCTTGTTGTGATGGAGACATATTCCTCATATATATATATCTATATATATATATAGATATATATATATACAGTACCGTTCAAAAGTTTGGGGTCACATTGAAATGTCCTTATTTTTGAATGAAAAGCACTGTACTTTTCAAAGTAGATAACTTTAGACTAGTCTTAACTTTAAAGCAATACACTCTATACATTGCTAATGTGGTAAATGACTATTCTAGCTGCAAATGTCTGGTTTTTGGTGCAATATCTACATAGAAGAAGGCTAATTGATGATTAGAAAACCCTTGTGCAATCATGTTCACACATCTGAAAACAGTTTAGCTCGTTATAGAATCTACAAAACTGACATTTCTTAGAGCAGATTGAGTTTCTGGAGCATCACATTTGAGGGGTCAATTAAACGCTCAAAATGGCCAGAAAAAAGGGAACTTTAATCTGAAACTCAACATGGTGGAGGTAATGTGATGGTCTGGGGTTGCTTTGGTGCTGGTAAGGTGGGAGATTTGTACAGGGTAAAAGGGATTATGAATAAGGAAGGTTACACTCCATTTTGCAACGCCATGCCATACCCAGTGGACAGCGCTTGATTGGAGCCAATTTCATCCTACAACAGGACAATGACGTTAAGCACACCTCCAAATTGTGCAAGAACTATTTATAGCAGAAGCAGGCAGCTGGTATTCTATCTGTAATGGAGTGGCCAGCGCAGTCACCAGATCTGAACCCCATTGAGCTGTTGTGGGAGCAGCTTGAGCGTATGGTACGCAAGAAGTGCCCATCCAACCAATCCAACTTGTGGGAGCTGTTTCTAGAAGCGTGGGGTGCAATTTCTCCAGATTACCTCAACAAATTAACAGCTAGATTGCCAAAGGTCTGCAATGTTGTAATTGCTGCAAATGAAGGATTCTTTGTCGAAAGCAAAGCTTGATGTAAAAAAATCTTATTTCAAATGCAAATCATTATTTGTAACCTTTTCAATGTCTTGACACTATTTTGTATTCATTTCACAACATATAGTGGTGAATAAGTGTGACTTTTCAGGAAAACACAAAATTGTTTGGATGACCCCAAACTTTTGAACGGTAGTGAATATATATATATATATATATATATATATATATATATATATCTATATATATAGATATATATATAGATATATATATATATATAAAAGACTTAGCTGGGTGAAACGTGTGCGCGGGGGGCTGAGCTCAGAGCAGAGGAGCAGAGTGAAGGAGGAGGGTGAGGAAGAATCAGAGAGAGACAGCAGAGTGAGGAACAGGTTCCTTCTGCAGCCCTCAGCCTCAGCAGCCATGCCTAACTTTGCCGGCAACTGGAAGATGAAGAGCAGTGAGAATTTTGATGAACTTCTCAAAGCCTTGGGTGAGTCTTCTCCTTTCTGTCCTCACTGCTTAGGTTTGCTTTGCATCATGTCCAAATAAGGGAAAAGAGCCCTTTCTTGTGCTTTAGGAAAGACATGACTCCTAATAAAATCAGATTGTTGCGAGAAGCTGCCTGGAAAAGCAAGCAGAGATGATTCTGAGGGAAAATCCCTCAGAAAATCTCCCAGAATCACTGGGTGCTAAATTCCAGGCTAAACAGACGTAGTATTGTTACACGAGGTGAGAAAAGGGGTGGTGGTGGTGGAGGGGGGGTATAACATTAATCATGTTAAGTATTTAAGTAGGGCATGCATTACTGCAAGGGAAGGTTGGTGGATCACTGTGCTGTTCTTCTTTCTCTTGTCCTCTTCCATCCTTTGTCAACCTGCCCAGTATTTACAGATGATTGTGATGGTTTAGATTTAGAGCGGTTAAATTGGGTCATTTGATTGTGTTGGAGCGATTCGTCACGCCAGAACCAGTGAAACAGACAAGGACATGGCAAAAGAAGCTCGATGCCTGTTAGAATAATCTGGAATTCTTCAGGGAGAGGTCCCACCGATGAGCCCCTAAGCAGCAGCATGGGATATAAGTGGAGTTTTTGTGGATGCAATACAGTGCCACAAGTTAAACTCACTAACCTCTATGTGTTCAGGTTGATTTTATGAGACAGATCAACTTCAAGTACCTATTCCAGCACAAAATGTGAATGAGGAAAAGTGTGGTGTGCAGGTTTACTCCAATACCCCCTACGAGCTGCGGGCTGCACAGATCTAGATCTAGACAGATCTGTCAAGACTTCTGAACCTTGGACCCAATATTCAAAGCATACAGATCAGCCAAATTTCAAAAAAGCCTTTTTTTTTAAAAACAGTACAGCATGTAGCTGCTCGCTAGCTTGGGCGGATAAACCGGATCCTCTGTAGGGATAGAAACTCAGGACAGTGACTTAAAATAACAGGCTGTTCAAGACTGTGAGCAAATTCCCTAACCAAATTCTGAGTCCAGTTAGATCCCAGAGGAAGGAGATAAGTCCGAGAGGGAGAATTTCTACCGCTTGAGGTGTTCAAAGTGATTAGCAGGGCTGACGTCAGCCGACCCCGAGGAGCAAAAGTGTCTGTGAGGGATATCCAGAGCCGAAGTCAAAGCAGAACCAGGCTTACAGACCAGAAGATCAGAGAGCAGAGGAGGTACTGGTGGAGAATCCAAGCCGAGGTCAGAAGCACAGTTCAAGTTCGGTTGACCAGCAGAATCCAGGAATCAGTCCAGAATAAACAATACTGACTGAGCAGACAGGAGCAAAGCAATACTCGGATATCCAAAGGCAGAAACAGGTCAAAATCAGAATCACAGATCATATATTGAGAATGCTAGAGTAACTCTCAGAAAACAGCTCAAATAATATGGCACAGATCGTAGGCAAACAGGCAGCATAAGCAGCAGCAGGAACCAGGGGGACAACATGAGCCACCAATTTGACAGGTGACAGGAGTAAATTATAATGCACCAGCATCAGCGCCAAGATCATGACATCTACAGCTTGCTAGAAGACATGAGATGCAACAAACATTTTGAGGATGTTGACCTCTCTGGCCTCTAAGCAGAAGTTTTGTAGAGGAAAACCAACGGTACGAGATATCCTGAATGCACTATTTTTGTCGTGGAAGAGTAGATGGGTTTGTGGGTGTAACCAAACACAGTGGTTTGGTTGCACCATTGATGGTCATAACTCTGTAGTAGGTCAGTTCAATTAGGGACGGACTTTGGTATAACATGTAACAATCAACTTATTGGTAGACAGAAATATGTAACCACCGGCAACAAAGTGAGATACCCAGGAAGATGTCTGCTAAGAAAAGTAAACAAACAAGAGCCAGTGAATGATCTTCATTACTGCTGCTGTTTATTGTCATGCTGATATGAGACTAGGCTGGAGATTTGGTTGAACTCTGGCCTGTCCAGTGGAAGAGAGACTTGCTGTCGAAATGCTCACCTAACTAGACCGGATCATTCAATGCCTTCTACCCAGTGGCAACTGGGACTGTACCACTTAGTGGAAATACAGGAAAAAGTCTGAAATAAAGGATCTAAACCCTGAACATACAAGCAGGGCTACAATGGAATGGATGTCATGATCTTGGTGCTGATGGCTGGCGTAATTGCTCATTACATTTACCTGTCTAATTCTGCCTGGTTGCTCATTATCGCTCATCTTAGCCACCTGCTGCTGCTCATGTACTTGCATCTAGATATCAGTGTGAAATTTTCCTTGTTGTCTCTGGCCATTGGTGAAAGGGGTTTCAGGACTTCTGGAACCTTGAACCAGCTTGTTCCTGTTTTGACCTGTATCTCTGACTGGGATTCAGACTCCTGGACCTCTGAGCCTTCCTGTTCTGATCTGTATCCCTGACCTGGCTCAGACTCCGGACTCTTTCGGGCTGCAGCATCGGGACACTCTAGGCGGCGCCCGCTGCATCTAGTGTGCAATCCTGGAATCCTACCGTGTTCTCTGGTATGTACTGAGCAGCTGAACTAGGTTAGTGACTTACATGGACAATCATCCTTCTTCAATCCGATTATCATGATCGCTAAGCTGTGTTTCTCCCCAATAGAGCTTCAGTGATAGATGCCCTAGCTCCTGATACCACAGATCCACAGTTAGCTTGTTTTTAAATAAATGGTTTGAAGTAACTCACTGTCTGTCTCGCTTTGAACACTGGGTCCTTCTGTTCTGAATTATGACAATGATTCAAGTGTTAGAATGGCCTGGTCAAAGTCCACAGTGGCCCAGTTAAAGTCCAAACTTGAAAACTTCTTTTTAGAGATTATCAAGCTATTTTCACGACTAATTAGTAAAAGAAAAAAAAAAACATTGTTCAAGTTGGAGAGTTGGACCACCAAAGAACTGGATGTAAAGACAAACCACATATTTGTCCATATATATATTTACCTGAAAACCTAAAATTATTTTCATAATCTGCATAACACCTCTTAATGCCACACATTAAATCCAAAGTTTATATATTTTTTTAATTACAGATTCTTACACTTAATGATTCAAGTTTAGTAAAAATTTTTATTGTTTAAAAAAAAGAACTATAGTACAAAATCTGGAAATATTTCAGGTTTGTCTGAGTGACTGTTCCTTCTTCTGTGTCTTTTCTGTCACCCTTTTTTTCTTAAAGACATACTTGAGAAAAGCATAAAAGCTGGAAGTAAAATATCAGGTTTTCCTTCTTTATTTGTAGTTCTTTTTCCCTCTCCATGTTTTGTGTTTTTAAAGTTGCCAGGACAACAGCTTCTTTGGTGTGATCTTTGGTCTGATGGAAAAGCCTCTAGGTTTAACACCTCATTCAACACATAAACCACATCTGCTAGGGAAGGTCAACAGTTAGTTCTTAGAGAAGACGGTGGTCTGAGAGAGAAACAGAGAGAAGCATCTCTGATGGCTGTCTAATGCGCAGTTCAACGCCACGGGGCCACAACGTTCTATGTATCTGATGAGTCAACGGTTTCCATGTAGTAGAAAAGGATTGATACAATATTTGTTAAAAAAAAATATTTCATTATGTTACAGGGACTATATGTAATGTGTTTTTTGTGATATGGACACAGCATAGAAGAAAACTGTGAAGTGGTAGGAAAAGTAGACTGTGTTTTAAAAATGTTTACCCTCTTTAGTCTGACACCCTTGCAAAAAATGTATGCTTGCCAATTGGCTTTAAAAGTCAAGTATTAATAAAGGTGTTCACTGGGTGCATTTTAATCTCAGCATAAAACTAAGCTGTTCTACAAAGTTTCCGATGTTTCCAGAGAACATTAAAGGAAAAACAGCAACATGTTTGCTAATAGTAAGGAACACAACAGACAGGACAAAGCTCAGGTCTATTTCTGGAAAATGAAAAAGTTATAATAATATTGCAAACTTACCAAGATATTTGCATCTGCCTAGACTGAATAGACAAACAGAACATTAATATGTGAAGTGGCCAAGATGGGCTACAGTTTAGGAGCAAGACAGCTATTAGCTCTGTACTTTACCGTAGGAGAGTGACAAGAAGAAATATGTTGAAAAAAGGCCATTGGAAATCTTTAATACCAGCTAAGATGCAATGTACAGCTGTCTTTAGGAAGGGACTGAGTGAACGGTACTTAAGGGAAGATTAGCTCCTTCATTATCTGCTATCTTTGACTTGCAAACATGCTCCTCCTGGAGCAACCTGCTGCGACAATCTTTGCTTGCATTTTGTTGTTGACTCTTCAGCATTCCCTCACTCCAGGCATGCATGTAGCGACAGTAGAGAAGAACACTCCCCTTTAAAAGACAGAAACGTCCAGCCGAACCAGGATCAGTGTGTTGGGGTCAACTGGGTTTCAAAAAGAGGCAAGCAAGCAGAAAAAGAAGCAGAGTTTCAACAACAAGCAGATACACAAAACTTTTAACCAGCTCCACAGGTGGCCACAGCCTGGTAGATCAGCTTCAAACAAGTTCTGCAAAGTAAAAGACTGCACTGGGAACAGGCCAAGCTCCAACATCTTTAAACAGAGATGTCGATGGAAGCAGCACAGCTAATATTTATATTAACGATGGAGTCACAGCCAAACAGGAACAGACCAGATGAAGCGATGAAGAGAAAAAGTAGAGAGAATATAAAGTTATGAGTGGAACTTGATAAAAACTGCAGAGGGGGGGAATAAATATAGAATGAGGCAGAATGAGGAAAAGTTGTCTCTATGTTAGAAAACTTTTTTTTGCCAGTTTGTATAATGGAGTGTATGTAAAACGCAATTTTAATTTGTACTGCTTTCAGACAGTAATGAGCAGCAACTTAGCAATGAAATGTACATTTCCATTCCATAAAGTGCAGCAGTGATGAAATTTAAACAGTGTGGGAGAAATTTTTTTTACAAAAACACATTAAAATGGAAGTTCAGAGCATTAAATATATGGTGCAAATATGCAGTATTTTAGTTGGGTGTTATCAGTGTGATGCAGAGTCT